TTAAAAATCTTTTATGCAAACAATGTAGTTCCCACGTCTAAAATCAATGCATTTCTCGTGTAACTCAGCAATGACGGGTCCGGCGCCCCTGAGCCCTTTCGTTATGGTTCCAGAAGAATAGCAGGAAAAAGTTCGCACAGTTGCACACATCAACGATTCGGTTTCTACGGGGGGGGGGGGGCTGAGCCCTTTCGTTATGGTTCCAGAAGAATAGCAGGAAAAAGTTCGCACAGTTGCACACATCAACGATTCGAGTTTCTACGGGGGGGGGGGGGCGCCGGCCCCCGTAGTTCGTCCGATCGACTGAAGCAGGTGCCAAAATCAGCCCATAACTTCTCTACGGGGGGGGGGGGCGGGGGGTTCCGCCGAAAGCAAAAAAAAATAATAAAAGAACGATCACCTTCAGGGACGACGTCAACGTGTGATGATAGCGATGGCGGTGGCGATGATGACGAGGGCGAAAGCAATGAGGATTGCGACGGTGGTGATGCATCTAATTGTGATGATGGTTGTGATGATGGCAACCGCGAGGATGATGGCCATAGTGATGACGAGGACTGTAAGGAAGTGCGCGCGTGCAGAATATATGACGCCGTGTCCAATTACAAAAACTGTGAGTTCAGATCTGTTTGAACGCCTCTACGCTGACATGCTTACAAAACCATAATTGGCCATGTAATATGTTGGACCTGCGCCCGCGAGGAGGCGGCGGTGTGGCTCGCATTGTACTGCTTGGAATTTGCGGGTGCGCGATGGCTGCTGCATGGTTTCGAAACGCGCGAGCAGTTGGTCCATGTGGCTTCGTTCCACTGAGTGTCGACCCCGTGGCTCCTCATTGTTTCAAAGGGTGCGCGCGCACAGACACCTGCCATGTTTGGTAAGAGTGACTGTTCGTTTGAAACCTCTGTGAAACAAGTATTTGAACAAACAACAATCACTCGGGCATCGTTTCAATATTGCCGCGCGCGCATGGCCTGGATGCTGTCCTCGTCTGGATTGAACGCTTACACAAAGCACTTGGTAGATCAACGCGCGTGCCCAGCATGGTACGTTTTTTTGTCAGAGGTGGCATGGGCATCGCATTGCTTTGCATTGCTTCACATTGCGTCGCATTGCTTCGCATTGTTTTGTACTGCGTTGCATTGCGTTGCACTGCGTTGCTTCGCGTTGCACTGCTTTTCTCTGCAATGCTATCTATTGCGTTGCATTGCTGCGTAATGCTTTTCATTGCTTTACATTGCTTCGCATTGGCTTGCATTGCTTTGCCTTTCTTTGTTTTGATGCTTCGCATTGCTTCACACTTCCCTTCGTCTTCCATTTTCCGTTTGGAATCATGCCAGCGCAGGCAGGCTGGGTATCGCACCCAACCTTCATCCCTGCAAAATGAAGCTGTGCGTGCATCACTGCTCACCGGACAAGATGATGGCTCCAGAACCCATGGCAGAAAACACAACAAAAAATCAGCACCCGCGCGCACATGCTGAAATCACACCAAGCACACCCGTTCTGAACGGAATCTGGACATACAAACATCACAAGCCATTCGGTTTCCCACCACAGACCTTGCAACGGTTCTGCCCGCGCTCATTTACTAGAATCAGCCGACCGTGCCAGCGTGAGTGACACGATCTCCGATTGAATCGTCGTCGCCGCCGCTCCCATCCCTTTAACGCTTTTCCGTCTGAATCGTCGTCGTCGCCGTCGCTGCTCCCCCCCCCCTCTCTGGACCCTCCTCCGCAAACGCTCCACCCGGGAGGAAGCCGAACAACGTCGCAATCAAATCGAAGGGGAGCCCCTCACCTTTGACCCCTCCCCCGTCAGCAGGGGGGGGGGCCCAGTGTTGGTCCCGGGTCAAACTGCGCTCCCGAAGGCAAACCGAACCACGTCGCAATCGAGTCGAAAGGAAACCCCTTCCCATTGATCCATCCCTCCCCGCGGGGGGGCGGCGTCAGATCCTCGCACGGGCTTGCGAAACATGCAATAGAAATTTCGTCGTTCAGTGAAGGACAAGTCTTTTCCCTGTCATCCCTTCCCCGCCAGGGTGGGGAGGGGGGTCCCAATTCGGACGCACACCGCATATCTTACACAACGTAGCTAACACAGCTTGTATCACAGCACGTGGCATGCGCAACATAGGCAACACCATACGTGTGCACCGCGTAGCTTTCACAACGGAGCTAGCACAACATAGCTCACCCATCTGATATGCTAGATGCCACCTCCGCAGCGCAACAACTCGCATTGTTTGGGGCCCACGGTTGATGACATGTGTATTTTTTCGGGCGACCAAATCTTTACACCGAAAGTACTGTTTGCCAACTCGTGACGTGTCAACTCCACAACCCGCGCAATCATCCCACCCTCCCACCCGCAATTGGCTTTGCAAAACCCATGCGGCCGCGAATGCGGTGAGTATTCGACCAAAGCTGCCACATCTCTGCGGCCGCGCTGGCGCGCTGAAACTCGCGCGTAGAACGACAAGCTGCTGGCACAGGTGATGCAACAACGATCGCGCTTGCCAATGGCAACTTCTCAGCGCGTCTTCAGGCCGCGCTGGCGCGCTCGCACATCCGTGCGGGTCGTTGGATCGGGCTGGCACGGTATCGTGACGACGCCGACAGCCACGACAACGATGATGACAGTAGCGGTGGTGTTGGCGAGGATGACGATGACGACGGCAAGGCCAATGATGGCGCCGACGCTGGTGACGACGACGGCGATGATGATGTCAATGTGCAGGCGATGAACGTGATTGGCTGGCGATGGCGGCCAGACTAGGGATTGGCGATGACGATAAACAGCGGTAGCGCGATGGGACAGATACGGGCAATCCTGATGAACTGCGCGAGACATGGAAGAATTGAGGCGAACTGTCTGTTGCAAAACGATTGGTTTGCCTCATTTCCAAATGGGTGTGCCTACAAGAGTCCTTTCCCAATGAATAGGCAAATGATCCAACTTCCCGATCGTGTTTTGCGTCAAACTATGGCAGTGACTTCATCTGCTATCTCAATGGCTTCCTCTGCTGATGCAGTGGTTACCCCAACTATTGCAATGGCTTCCTTTGCTATTTCACCAGGCTGTGCGAACACACGCATGCATGGGCATCGGGCGACCATTGGGAATACCAAGTACGAAACGAAAGAGATTGTATGGCCTCGACCTACAGACCTGAGGACCGGCCAGGAATCCAGAGCCCCTCGCCTTGTGCTTCACGTTTCCCAGCCTCTAGAGGACGCTTCCTGGCTCTGGGGCCGTCCGCAAAACTATCCGAGATGACTGACAAGGCGCCCCAGGGCACCGGCCAAGACCCTTGGGCCAGACGTCGCGAAAGCATGCGATTCCATTCGATCCAGTTTGATTTAATCTTTCGCCAAGCATATCCACATTAGTGCACCATACACTGCATTCTTTGTACACCCGCCTCAGGCTCGCCTGGCAACGGTTATGCCGCGCCAGGGTCGCCGAGAAACAGTTGACTGCGCAACTTCCTTTGGTCACCTTTCTGGTCTAGGACTGAGTATGCCAACTCTTTGGGGCACCCCTGGTCCAGTCCGTCTCCAGCGTTTCGGCGTGTGGTTGGCGCTGTCACGAACGACGCCTCTTGCTCCGACTGTGCGAAAACACCACGCGCACATCTTGAATGCAGAGATACGCGGTGCCTGGTTGTCTTCTGGGACTCCTTCGCACACACCAAGATTGCCAGACGATGTCAAAGCCAGGCTCTGAGAACCTGCTGTCTTGGCCTGCAAGAAGGGAGGAAACCACTGATGCGCCAGCACTGGCCGAGGCCCGCCCGGAGCCGGGCGCGGAGATCCGACCTCGGTTGGATGCGAGACGATGCGCCGGCGCGGCGCGCGGCGCGCGGGGCGCGGACCGCGCTGGAGCGTCGCGAAAGCATGCAGCGTCGGAGGAGACTGTCGGGGCAGCATGGCCCGAGGCGTGTGGCCAGACGGAGGGCGGTCAGAAGAAGAAGAAGAAGGAGAAAAAGAAGAAGAAGAAGAAGAAGGAGAAAAAGAAGAAAAAGAAAAATAATAATAATAAGAAGAAGAAGAAGGAGAGAGGGCCATGATATCCACGAATCCGCACACCCGTAGTCCTCACCCTCCTCTTCGACGCCCACGACGACCCCTGGGACTGCCCTTTTTCCATCCTGCAGTGGGTCATTTGAAGGCCCAGGCCTCCACAAGGCCAGAATGGCGACAAGACGGCCGTGTCTCCATCTAGTCGGGCCGCCAGTATGTCTGGGTATGCAGAAGATTGGTTTTGCCCTCAGACGAAACACGACGTCCACTAGCCTGGCCACCATACAATGAGATTTGAGCGTGCTGCTCGGGATCGCCCCGACGGCCTTATCACGGGTTCTATCAAATTTTGGACCGCTAGGAGTTCATAGTATATCTGTGTCTCAGGTCAGGTGTTTGCGTGGGGGAGTTCCCGTTGAAGGCATATATTTTCGCAACGCATGTGATCCTGGCCCCAGGTGCCTCCCGAATTGTGTTCGCACCATCTTGGACCCGCTGGGCCTCTTGAGGGATTCTCTGGAGGCCGTCTCGGCCTCCCTGAAAAAGCTGGGGCCACGTTGGGCAAGGGCTACCTCTGGTAACATCCGATGCGTTGCCCCAGAAACCCCAAGCAACAGCAATGCTGGCACTCAGGGGGCCTCGCTTCACTCTCCACCGACTTGTGTGACTCCGTCGAGGCTCCGCCGCGCTCCCGCCCCTGGTGTTCAGTTGGGCCTGCCCCTCTACAGGGGGGATAATCAAAAAGAGTCAAACAAAAGAATATGGGGACTATTTTCTTAGTATTTTTTACCATGTTGGAATATTTTTCCGTATTTCTTAATATTCGTCGAAAATCCCCCTGTAGGAGGACAGGCCCGACTTCACCCTGGTGCGCCCTTTGGGCGCCCACGATGCCCTCCGTTGGGAGGAGGAGGAGGAGGGGGAGGAAAGGGAGGAGGAGGAGGAGGAGGAGGAGGAGGAGGAGGAGGAGAAGGAGGAGGAGGAGGAGGAGGAGGAGGGGGAGGAGGAGGCGGGGCGGGCCCGCGGGGGCGTCGCACGATGCCCTCCGCTGGGGGGCGCCCGTGGCCGCCTCGCCGGGGCGCCCTCCTGCGCCGCCGGAGCCTCGCCTGCGGTGCCTGCCCGGGTGCGCCCCGTGGGCGCCCCTCGTGCGCACGGTGGGCGCGCCGAGGCCGCCTCGCCGGGGTGCCCTCTTGTGGGCGCCTCCTCCTCCTCCTCCTCCTCCTCCTCCTCCTCCTCCTCCTCCTCCTCCTCCTCCTCGCCTCGTGGGCGTCTCGCGGGGGCGCGCCGGTGCGCTGGGGCGGGTCTGCGGGAGGTGCGACACGTGTGCGCTTGTGCCCGCTCGTGGTCGAAAGCCCAGGGTTCACCAGGGACGATGTTCCGGTCGAAGAAGCTCCATGAAGGGCTCCTGAAGGCTTTGTCAGAAAGTTTTGGGCGGGTTTTGGAAGGAGTTTCGTCGTTCTCGGGGGAAGCCAGCCCCTCGCGAACCCTGGGCTTTCGGACGCTCGTGGGCGCTTTGTGGGCGCAACCTAGCTTACAACACATAGCGTGCACTGCGCAGGTTACATCACATAGCCTGCACAACATCGCTTACACCACGTAGCTTACACCTCACAGCTTGCAAAACACAGCTGACACCACCTACGTTCTACAATGCATAGACCCTGGAACTCTCTCTCTCTCTCTCTCTAGACTCTACACCATCCCTGGATCCCAGATCCACAACCAAACAATAGCTGCCAAGAGGGCACCCGCAAGGACAAGCGGCAGACGAGTGGGAAACGGGCTGACCCGGGTCGGCCCTAACCTAGGTTAGCCAAGGCCATGTCGCCAACCCAGACGGCCATGAAGTAGCACTCAAGCCCGCATTAGCGGAAACACGTGGTCAATTACTTCCACTAACCTCCGCCGGCCTTCCGCTGGCTTCTGCTCGCCTTCCGCCGGGGAAGATGTGCCAACCTCTCGATCCCTCGAGGGCGGGGCCCTTCTCAAAACGCCCCACATGGCTCCCCAAACCGAGTCAGCCAGAGGGGTAGGGAATCGGCTGACCCCAGCTAGCGCTGACCCCTGAATGAGTCGACCCCGAACGAGGGCAAGCACGCATAACCGCAGCAGTCAAGGCAACACGAGCGAGCGTGATACGGCAGGCGGAGTCGTAGCTGTCGGCGCACTGGCGAACGGTGCGGCGATCTGGCGCCAGATCCGGGCCCCGGCCATGCAGAAGTGCGAATTGATCGCCCCCCGATGGTTCACGGGGATTGTGGCAGCTTCAGGAGAGCATCGCTCCTGACTGTTCACAGCAATCGTGCCAGCCTGAGGGAGGTCGAGCGGCAGTTGAGAGACATGACGGTCGACCGCCTCAAGGCAGGAAGTAGGGTGGACCTGGGCGAGGAAAAGAGGTGGGGAGGGGCGTGTTTGTGTCAGCCAGAAGTCGACACCATGAGCAATTAGGTGTGACAAACTACTTGGCGGCCCCCATCATGTTCCAGGCAAGGCAAGGCCAAGGTGGGTTACCACTTGGGGGGTGCCGCTTCCTTGCAGAGAACAACCACTCAGGAGCCCCAGATAGCCCACCATACGTTTCCCAAACGTTCGTAATCGCCGAATTGATCCTCGGCCGTTGCTCCTCGAACCTCGATTCTCAGGCAGGGCAGGCAACCAACCTAGGCATTGCCTGCATTTGAAAACGTGCACCAGCAAGAACAGCCGCTTTGGCAGCCAATCCAGGATTACAGGTCTTCCGCGCGACTGGCTGAAGGCAGAGCGCGCATTGGGCATGGGTCATCTACAAACTCAAATTCGACGGCCCCGTGCTGTAGAAGCGAGGGTCGCGGGTCCAGGTGCAGTCAAAAAGGCAACTGCAGACATTGTCACGCACTCTATCACTCTCTGTTTCCCTCCCTCCCTCCCGCCCTCTCCAATTCAAAGCGGCCCTTCATATCCGCACTCTCGGTTACATTCTCCCCCGAGCGCAGGGAGCGCCTGAGCACTCTCGGCCGCTGCAGGAGCAGCCGAGCGGGGCACCAGCTCAGGGGGGCAGGCAGCGAGCCTGCACTGGCGACACATCGCCGACAGGACGGCGATGGGCTCCCGATCGGCGATGGCTGGGCGACTAGGGGTCGATGCTTCCCCTCCCTGAGCCCACATGTCCTCTGACGCTGCCCCTGAGGAGGGAACTAGGCTTGTGGATGCCACGACAACGGACACCCTAACGGTCCTATCATTGAATTTGCAGATGTGCTGAACATGCATAAAAACATGTTCTAAACATGTCTCAATCATGTTTTGACATGTTTGAAACATTTTTGAACACACATTCTGGACATCTGGAAATTATTTGGCAGCGCGCTTCCTGTCCATCAATCGACTTCCACAACACAAGGCCCGCTCAACCGCCGAACGAGTTCGATCCCGGACCCGCTCGCCGGTCGAACGAAGCGGCCCTGACGCTGAAGCGGCCCACTGTGGCAAGGAGCCGGCCCGCGCAACGGCAGCGCCCACAGGTGGCTTCCGCAGCCTACATTCCCGAGCCCCTGGTCTTTGCACTGCGCGGCGCGCGGCCCCGGCCCCTTCCCTGGGGGTAAGTTTCCGCGCTTGGGCCATTGTTGATATGGCCCCGGGCCCCGAGGACGGGCCCCAGGGGCCGAAGTCGAGGGACAACGCAGCGGTTGAAGGCATCATACCGTCGGATATCTGGGAGAACGCGGTAAGCATTCGTGCCCGGAAATCGGCCCCCGGACCCGTCGATGCGCCGAGTGGCACGCGGCAGTGGCGACGCGAAGCCCCCCGAAAGGCCCCAGACGCTCGGGAAAGCCAACAAACACATCGATCCTGGATTTCTCTATATTTCTCCATCCTCCGCGCACGGCAACACACGACACAGTCTTGTTCGGCCTGCGGCGAGTGGGGCCAGACAAAAAAAGGGCCAAGCAAGCAGCGGGGCACATCCGTGGCGCACTGAGGCACGAGGGCGCAACGCAGGGGCGCAGGCGGGAGAGGAGAGAGAGGGCCGCGGGACGGCCAGAGAAGACTCAGATCTGGCAGACCTTTAGGATGTGCCCGGGAGCAGGCTCCCACTCGTGACGCAGTCAATGCAGACGAACACACCGAGACACCGACGATGCAATCGAGGAGCCAACCAGAAACACATGCACATGCTTTCTTAGAGGCCCGTGCGGATTTCTTGGATCCGCGACGGGCCAAGCTCCCTGGCGCGCGGAGCACATCGGGGGCGGCGCGACACAAATCCAAGAACTCCTTCCTCCTCATCCTTCTCCTCCTCCTCGGTCCTCAGTCCTCAGTCCTCAGTCCTCCATCCTCCTCCACTTCTTCCTCCTCCTCCTCCTCCAACTTGTCCTCCTCGTCCTCCCTTTCCTCCTTCTCCTCCTCCTCCTCCTCCTCCTCCTCCTCCTCCTCCTCCTCCTCCTCCTCCTCCTCCTCCTCCTCCTCCTCCCCCTCCTCCTCCTCCTCCTCCCTCTCTTCCTGCTCGTCCTCCTCCTCCTCGATCCTCGATCCTCGATCCTCGATCCTCCTTTGGCGGCGCGGGCAAGGGGGGAGCGGGGAGCGGGAGGGGAGAAGACTTTTGGAAGCAGGCCGCTCCTTAGAAGGCGCCGGCCCTACGTCTACACACACACACACACACACCTGGAGAAAAACAGAGAGAGAGAGAGAGAGAGAGAGAGAGAAAACAAACAAAGAAAAACGACGAAGCTAACGTCTTCTCAGAGACAAGGCGCTTCTAAGAAGCCTTCACCTCTCCACCTGCCCCCCCTCTGCGCGTGGTTGACTCCGCCTCCTCCTCCTCCTCGACCAGACCGAAGCGAGAACACATTTTGTCCGCGGCCAGGAGAATCGACCGCACACTTCACCCGACGGGGCAGGAGAGGAGGAGGAAGGAAGGAGAAGGAAGAGGAGGGAAAAAGGAGGGAGACGCCGGCCTCCTCCTCCTCCTCCTCCTCCTCCTCCTCCCTCCTCCTCTCCTCCTCCTCCTCCTCCTCCTCCTCCTCCTCCTCCTCCTCCTCCTCCTCCTCCTCCTCCTCCTCGGTTCTCCTCCCTCCTCCTCTTCCTCCTCCTCCCTCCTCCTCCTCCTCCTCCTCCTCCTCCTCCTCCTCCTCCTCCTCCCTCCTCCTCCTCCTCCTCCTCCTCGGTTCTCTCCTCCCCCTCCTCCTCCTCCTCCTCCAACTCCACTTCCTCCTCCTCCATTTCCTCCATTTCCTCCTCCTCCTCCTCCTCGCGGCGGCGGTGCTGGCGGGCTCTCACCCGCCCCGCGAGCGCGCGGGCAAGCGCGCTCACTCCAGCGGGAGGGTCGGCGCCGCGAGGGCCCCGCCGCCGCTCTCCTCGGGGCCGCCGCGGCATCGGCGGCCAGCCCAAGGGTTAGGTCGGGCCTGTCCCCCTACAGGGAGATTTTGGACGAAAAATTAGGAATACCCCAAAAATATTCCAAAATTGTCAAAAAAAAAATGTTCAAAAAATCGTCCCCAACTAGTTTTTGACTAGTTTTGAACATTCTCCCTGTAGAGGGACAGGCCCGACTTCAGGCCAGCCCAGGGGGGGGTCAAGACATCGCCGCTGCAGCGGCGACGGCAGGACGGCCCGGAGGTCAAGCAGCGGGGCTCGAGAAAGTACCACTGGAAGAAACATGGCCCTTCGGAGGTCCCGCGGATCTCTGTGGCGGCCTGCTCTTCCTGAGGAGGAGGAGGAGGAGGAGGAGGAGGAGGAGGAGGAGGAGGAGGAGGATCGACGATCGATGATCGACGATCGAGCCTCGACGATCGAGGACCGGCGATTGAGAAGTGAGGCGCGATGAAGGACCATCGGCATCAACATCGCCCTTCGGAGGTCCGCGCGGAGGCTGCTCTGATCGGCGGTGCGCCCCCCGGCGGCGCCTCCGGCGCTGGCCGCCAGGGCATCCGCGCGGGCCTCCGAAACTGTGCGCCTATGTCAGAGGATCGCGTGGCAGCGCCGACGCATCGGCGACGGCGGGATGGAAGAGCACGGGCTCCATCGGGTCGGGCGAAAGGGGGGGATAGCAAAGGGTGGGGTTTGAGAATCAGCTCACGTAGCTGATTTTCCCGGCGCCTCCCGGCGCCGGAGGCGGATATGTATCGAGAAATGGCCCCCTCGGTGAGGCCGAAACCAGCTGCATGCAGCAAATTTCGTAACCCCCCCTTTCCCAATCCCCCCCTTTCGCCCGGCCCGACTCCAGATCGCGCCGCATCGCCGACTCATCGGTGATGCGGCGTGACCCTCCGGCCGGACTCTCAGCACCCATCTGGAGGCCTGGACCTGGGCGGACTGAGACGGCATCGCGAAGTCGGCGACGACAGACGCATGGAAGCAGAAACTCGGCGGCGAGACGGGAAGGGAAGGAAGAGGGGACCGGCCTTCTCAGAAGGCTCTAAACTCCTCGGGCTTTCAGAGACCTTCGCCAAGTCGTCCTCCAAGACACCAAACACTTCTCAGTAGGCCGGAGGGCTCCTGAGAAGCCCCGCCGCCTTCTGGGAAGGCCCTCTCCTTCTCATTTCCCCCCCCTGGCTCGCCGCCGAGTTGTGTCGGATGAGGGCAGGTCGAGACAAAGGCGGGCCTCCCCAATACCCCTGCTCCAAATCAGGAACAATTCTGCGCTACGGCAGTGGAGTTCACTCCAAGCGTTTTCTTAAACAGTAGTCTAGGTCCAGACATACGAACATTATACGAAGAAACGAGGCTCCGAGAAACCCCCAAGGGTCCTCTTGAGCGAAATCTGGAGTCCTGCTGGGTGTAGGCGGTTGAAATGTGTATCTATATATACATACTAGAACCATCGCGCGCGCTTCGCGCGCGCTCAGGTTCTAGCAGGCCCCAGGCCTTGACGAATTCACTGCTCCACTGAAGTAGTGGACCACAGTCCACGCATGCCAATCTGCATTCCGAAAGGCCTTCGAGGAAAATGGTTGTGTAGGGGGGCGGAGGCAGTATGAATCGGGTTCTCAGAAGGCCTTCTGGGAGCATGGGTTTGGGGCGTCTTGGGGAGCCTGTTGGGGCGTGCTGTCGTCGTCATCGTCGTCGTCGTCGTAATGTCGTCGTCGCCTATTGGGGCGCGCCGTCGTCGTCGCCGTCTTCGTCGTCGTCGTCGTCGTCGTCGTCGTCGTCGTCGTCGTTTCGTCGTCGTCGATTCAAGAAGGCACTTGGGGCAACTTTGTGCGAAACGATCTGCGGAGGGTCGCGAGAAGCCGATCAGTCATGTTCCCAATCAACTTCCCAGACAGCTCTCCTGCAGCATGATGGTACTTCGAAGCCTCCGGAGACTCGCGGGCCCATGATGAGCCATGTCCCCGGAAGGCTCTCTGGGGACGTGGTCTGTTGGGGTGTCTTGGGGGGTCTCTTGGGCGTTGCCTGGGCCACTTGGGGGCCTCCGGGAGCTCTCGGGCCCATGATGAACCATGTCCCCGGAAGGTGTTCTGGGGACATGACTTCTTGGGGTGTGTTGGGGGGCCTCTTGGGGGTCTCCTGGGGGTCTCTTGGGGCTTCCTGGGGGCCTCCTGGGCGCCTCACGGGGCTTCGTGGGAGCCTCTTGGTGGCCTCCAGGGGCCCACAGGCGGCCTCTAGGACCAGAAACCTCGAGATATCGGTGGGCGGTCCCCCTCTGGGACACGACTAGTGCCTATTGTATGACTGCGACTGCTCCTCAGGACAACCTACTGCCCAATGACCTTCGAGCTCGCAGCCGCGGCCTGCTCTTCTTGAGGAGGAAAAGGAAGACCGACGATCGATGATCGATGATCGACGATCGGGCGTCGCTGATTGGAAGGACCGTTGGAAAAAAGACATAGCCCTTCGGAGGTCCGCGCGGATTTCTGTGATCGGCATTGCGCACCCCAGCAATACCTACGGCATCGGTCCAAGGAATCCGCGCGGGTCTCCGAAACTGTGCGCTTATGTCAGAGGATCGCGCCGCATCGCCGACGCATCCGCGACGGCAGGATGGAAGAGGAAGGGCTCCAAATCGCGCCGCATCGCCTATCTATCCGTGATGCGGCGCGATCCCTCAACCGGACTCCAGCCCCGATTTGTAGGCCTGGATTCGGGCGGATTGAGATGGCATCGCGAAGTCGGTGACGACGGAGGCCTTCGAGCGAGAACTCTTGGATACCCGCGCGCATCTCGTCTTTCGGCGCTGCCCCCCGCCATTTCCAAAAACCGCTTCCCTGGCGCGCGCCGGGGGCGGCTGCAGTGGTCCGCCGGGGGTGCGAGGAGGGGCGCCCGCCGCCGAAACAAGCACTGCGAATCCGCGTGGGGATCTCAGCTGTTGCTGCATGCTTGCGCGAGTGGTGTACCTTTGAGCTGCTCGTCCATCCACTGCACCCCCCGCTCCTGCTCGGCACCAGTTGATGGGCCTGTCTTCCACCACCACCACCATGGGTTGGAGAGGGGAAGGAGGAGGAGGAGGAGGAGGAGGAGGAGGAGGAGGAGGAGGAGGAGGAGGAGGAGGAGGAGGACCCCCTCCCCCTCCTACTTATGGTGGTGGTGGTGGAAAACAAGCCCACCACCAGTGGCATGGACGACGGAGTATCGATAAAGCCCCGCCCCTGGCCGGGAATCATCCACATCCAGGTCTCCGCGAGGCCCTCGTCGGGGGCACGTCTCCGAACGGCCGGATAAGGACAGACCCCGGGCGTGGACAAGTGGCGCTTGGAGGTCGAAGCCCACCCACCCCGATGCACGGTGGTGCACCCCGAACCCCAATCGGAGACGAATGGGAGATTCGTACGTCGGTATCCTCCCAGTGGGGCATCGGGTGGTCTCGGGAGCTCCCATGCAGGAGACCCCAGGGAATCTCCCAAACAGCAGAGACGTGTGTAGACTTGAGTTTTAGATCCACTTAGATCCTCGATCGATCCCTCCCCGAGCCGCCCCCCCCCCCCCACCCTCTCTGCCGCCCCGAGTGTCCTTGAGGCCCCCGGATGTTTCACCAGAGGCATCTGCAAGTTCCCATGCTCTTGCGCAAACAACAGAAAAAAACGTAGCACCGATTCTCTTCGATCCTCGATCCCCCAACGTCATGATTTGCTCGCAACGCCTGGAGATCGCGGCACTTTCCCCAGGATTGGGTTTTTCCTGAACGGTTGTTTGACGGTCTCCTGGTCCACACACGACGCGAGGGTGTCTGGATATGTCTAGGTTTCGACCCTCGATCCCGAAGCGTCTGGCGCTTCGATCTGCGTGAGGCGTGGGCCCAAGACCCCTCGACCCTGTAACCCCAGGGTCGGCCGCTTTCGCCCCAGACCTTGGCGGCGAGCGCGGGGGGGAAGCGAGAAGGGCGGGCCTCCTCAGAAGGCTCGGACGCCCCCCGGACTTCCTGAGAGGTTCCCTGAGCTTCCCCAGAAGACGCAGAGAACTTCTCAGAAGGCGCGAGGGCTTCTGAGAAGCCCCGCCGTCTTCTGACAAATCCTCCTCCTTCTCACTTCCCCCCCCGGCTCGCCGCCGCAGACCGTTGCCGCGGACGGCCAGGAAGCCAGAAGCCGGCCTCCCGGCGGCCTGGACCCCGAGCCCATGGGGCCAATCGAAACTCCAGGTGCCAGGCCCAGGGGCAAACACATCGGACCCTGCACTTGGCTCGCCTTGTCGCGGCAACGCATCGGACTCTGCGTGCGCGTTCTGGCCCCAGTCTTGAAGCGGATCCGACCGCGGCGCCGATGAGCCCCGCCGGAGGCACCAAAAGGGTGAGCACCTGAGAAACAACAGCTCGACCCCCCCCCCTTTGGCCGACACCCCCCCGCCCCACCCCTTCGGCGGCTCGCAAGGAAGAGGAGGGGGAGGAGGAGGAGGAGGAGGAGGAGGAGGAGGAGGAGGAGGAGGAGGAGGAGGAGGAGGAGGAGGAGGAGGAGGAGAAGATGAGGAGAAGGAGGGGGACGAGAATTCGAAGAATTTGGCGACGACGATGTCGAGTTTCGCGTAAGAGACGAGCGCCGCCTCAGGACCCGACGCGAAGGGCCCCAGGTGCGGCGAGACCAAAAGGAGGAGGAGGAGGAGGAGGAGGAGGAGGAGGAGGAGGAGGAGGAGGAGGAGGAGGAGTTGCGCATGGGGTTAGAGTACAAAGGTACAGATACCCTGGTCCGTTGGTAGAGGAAAGGAGGGAAAGATGGATATCTTTTCCTCCTGCACGATCAAAGGTCAGATCGATCGAATCCAATGCCTAACCCAAACGGCCAGGCGCAGGAGAGGTGAGGATAAGGAATATATATATATATATATATATATGAGGTTCTGCATCGCTTCAGCTGCGTCCTAATCACGAAAGCGGCGTGCAAAAGGAAACGTAGCACAACGGCTGTCATGATCAGGCAAGCAAGGGTAA